GTATAGGTAGGTATATGTTGACCTGTGGAACTACCGTAACTTCCTTCTATGTGGCTCGCAAGTTTCGTATAATATACGTTTTTGAGTGAGATTATCTCGCGAGAGAGCTCGTACATATTCAAATTTAGAAAAAGGATCCTTCGTGGGTGACCGTCATTTAAACATACATAATTTAAGCATAATTTAAATATAAACAAATAAATAACGACGTACCTAGTAGAAGAAACGTGCCCGGTGTACAAATTGATTTCTTACTGTGTTCTTTACAGTTGGTCAAATCCTTTTTCGACTTCTACACATTAAGATATCTGATGAAGTCAAAGGTTTTTATTTTTGGACTTATTGTACATTGGGTTTGGTATCTTACCGCTCTCCTATTATGAAAATTATTTTCGAGAAAATCAATAATTATTTTAGTAATTCATTATGCAGGCATATAAATTCTTTCTCGACATGGAAGATTACTTTTAGTCGAAGAAATATTTGGTCCAGCGCATCTCCTGTCGCGTTTAGTGTAAAACAGTGGCAGGAGGTATATAGCAGGAACATGCATAAGACAGAAGGAGTAAGACTATGACAAATATTTAGAGGAATGGTTATAAATTAGCGGCAGATATTTGCCTCAGATATAAGATGTCGCTTGGCAGATACATTTATGATACGCCTCCTCACGGTATATCACGCCGAAAAAACCCTCGCAATAGCTGCCCGATGGTGTTGCATTAACGAGGCGGTTATTCGCGGACAAAAAATGATAAAAAGTCGTACAAATTTCGTCGAAATTTACAACTTAATATCATTCCAAACGCAGTATATCAAGTCGATCTGCGCTAGCCAATTGATTATAAAAATATTCTTTATTAAGTGGTTAAAAATAATGGGCTGACTCACATTTGAAACCCTAGACATCTGAGACCATGAAACTCCTCGACTTTATTTATATGTATATTAGGTGTGTGATATAAATAGGGTCATTCAATTCTAAATCGATGTCTTACTAATTCAAATTTCTCTGTGGTTTACGAGTGTTTTGCCTCAAGATATTTCCAAAATAATCAAGGTTTTGTATTTTGATGTCAAACTAGTGTTAAAAGAAATTTTGGAGTAATCTGTGTTTTTAGATGAAAACTTGTTAAACGTTCTGTAGACATTCTCAATTATCTTACAATGTTTTGCACATTCTTCAGCCTAAAATGTATAGGACGAAATAAACCCTAAACAGGTACTAAGCAACAGTTTTTTCGTCATCTCATATTTAGACTGATCTGGGATCCTCTACTTCACCCTTTAACACTTTTATTTAGACTGGTATGGCAATATTGACGATACCCTATCTGAAACCTTTTAGGGCTTGCCCTATAAATATGTAAGACTGATGTGACCCTTTAACTGTATGCCATATTTAGTATGATCGGATCCTAATGTGATTATCTTATTTAAATCCTTTAATGGTATGCCCTTTCTAGATTACCTTGTCCCTGATGTCGATACCCTATCTGAAACCTTTTACAGTGTGTCCTATTATGATTGATGTGATCCTGACATAAATACTCTATTTCAACCCTTTAATGGTATGCGCTGTTTTACTCATTTTGGTCCCTAACGTCAACGATCTCATCCAAATTGAAACCGATGTGGCTCTGATCTAATAGGAGCCACAAAGGTAGCCCTATCCACACCAAGCCTAGTTGCCTGATGAAGACCAAATATTTTAAGGCTCAAACTGGATAAGTCGCACAGGGCCAAATAATAAAACTTATTCGGGACCACACAGGTTAACTCTATACGGGCCAGACCTGATTGGCTTATTAGACCTTAATGTTTCTAATGCTAGGGTCCGAACCGCAGCTCTAAAAACGACCCCGCTAGATCCTTATGAAAAATACTCTCTGTCAAACCCTTTGAAACTTTGGATTCTGGTCGTTACCAACGTGTCTAAGTTGTAAAAGCTCATCTTCTTGAGATAAGGTCTTTTTTAATATACAGATAGATAGATAAATAGATATAATTACGCAACTAACGAATGCNGATAGATAGATAAATAGATATAATTAAATCTATTATAATATTATTAGATATATATTATATGTATTTAATCCGTTCAAGGATACGCTGATGTATTACATCTATGCATATTATGGATGTATCATGGTTTTGGACCAAGGATGATGGTAATGTATTGTGCAAAAGGGTCGTACACCTCAACGTCATAGTGTATTTTTGGAGAAAGAAAGTAGGTGTACTCACCAATACAGAATCTGTTCTTTGCAGTTGTATACAGTTACTAATGTACTTTTAGTTTATATAAAGATTCTGGTCTTGGTGTCTGATTACACCTCTGAATACACCAACTTTCTTCCTCCATAAGTACACTATGACGTTGAGGTGTACTAACTTTTGCACAGTGCATTACCATCCCTGGTCCGAAATCATGACACATAAGTGTAATACATCAACACATACTTGAATGTATTCGATACATATAATACGTATAACTTATTGTACCTTGGAAGTCCTTACAAAGCAATGCAACTTTGTAAGGGATCATATCTCAAAAAGATGAGTTTTTACTACTTAGCGCCCATCGACATTTTTGATCTGCCCGCCGAAAACTACGAGAATCTAAAGTTTCAAAGAGTTTACCACCGAGCTACTTTTCGTAAGTTTCCAGTTGATCCTTAAAATGTATAGTGACCATATCGTTGAACAAACACATTTTCTGAAATCATATTAACTTTTTATTACAATGAAAAGATCGATATTTCTTTATTAGAATTTGTTATATTATGTTGGTACACTTATTAAGGACCAGCGGCCAGTAAGGAAGGATAAATATGCGGAATGCTTAACGCTGCGGCGTCCTTGCCAGCTTTAGTCGCATATTAGGGATAAACGAACGTCATAGGAGATTGAGAGAGTAGTTAGGGTCCCGATGGAATTGTCTCATTTTCGAGGCTCATAAAATGACATCCTCTTTTTAGCCTGGTGATCCGCGGTTCCAATTAAACCAGTACCCGTCGTAACAAAGCCGCCTTGATTTTATCCCGTCTGTCTATCTCTCGTTATCTATCTCTTTCGCTCTTTCTGATCCGATCCGATGGGTGTTATTAGTGTATTGCGCCCCCGTTAATAATAAGTACGACCGACGAGAGGACGACGTCGCTTGGCCACGACGGCAAAGTAGACAGGCAGGGGGATGAATTGCATGGGTGGAAGGATGGATGGATGGATGGATGGTTGGATGCATGAATGGCATATGCAGTGATTGACAATCCACTTGAACACCGGTAGCGGTTACTTCGCGGCCGTTACCTAACTCTTGTGCTACGTCCACACTCCACACGTTTGTTACCCGTACGTGCTTTTGAATGTTGCATTTTATAAGGGCCTTTACATGAGGGAAGCAAAATACACTGACGAACTGTAAAAGTAAAAGTTCACGGTTAGGATTATTTCATCAACATTTTTGCGCCCTTTTCTTCGTGGTAAAAATGAAAGAATATCAGACAATTTCATAGGATTTTGCTTATGGAAATTGAAGTTTACCTCACAATCATAATTTTAAATATCAAATAATGTTCTGAAACATCTCTTTAACTTTATAGTAACTAATAGGCTTTTAGGAAACTTTATCTTCGTGGATTATTTTTTTGCTTTAGGTTTCAAATTTGTGAGATATAATACTAAATAATTCATCTAGATTTATTTTGTTTATGTTGTGACCTCCTCAAAAAACACGAAATTATCATAAATGCAAGCCTATCCCAAATGCTGCATTTTTCCTTAATAGTTTAGGTAATGTTTCACCACCCTTATTTTTTCAAAATAATGATCGTGGAAAGATCCTTTTGGTTTAAATGGTCGTTAATAATTAGTTGTTGCAATATGCTGTATGAAATTTCAAAAAAAAAATTATTTTATTATTAGATTTTATAAATGATACCCAACATACTCTTTTTCGTCTTCTGAATATTCATTATTAGTATGCTAATTCAAAAATTTATACTTGGCTTCTAAGAAAAAATAACTGTGACAGAAGGGCATGTTAGTATCCTTATAAAGGACTTCACTTTTTTATTACTATTAATGACATCAGTAGGTACAATTTTTGTAATTTCTGGATTTAGGACTGTAATTTTTTCACATTTGTATTTTGCTTAAGGGTTTCCAATATAAAAATTTGATAAAAATAAATAATGTTGGAAAAAACGCGTTTCAACATACTTAGTTACAATTCCCAATTAACATCAGGGGGGCTAAAGACTTAGGAGGAAATACATATATTTCAATCTCACTTTTTGAATGTCTATCAGGATATTTATTTATATATCTTTAGGAGAAATTTTTGATGTCTAATCCTGCTATAGCATTTTACAGTTATTAGTCAATCCTTAGGTAGATTATAGTAGTCTCGATTTCAGTATGTTATTCTGTTGGAAAATGATTCCTGCAAATTTCAGGACTCAAACCAGTATTCGGTTTGTAAGGACGATAGACAGATGGCGTTCGGTGTGCTGTTAAAAGTAAAAGGACCAGCGCAACAGTTCACACGCATTGTAACGGTTTTACGATATTGATTTACGTATTTTGTTAGATAGACGGCAGATTATACGCAAACTTTATAAAAAATAAGTATGAATTTTTATTTTCGTTTGTTAGATTTTAAATAAAAAAAAAGAGAAATTGCACATTTCATTATATTACAGCTTCAAGGGCCAGCATTTTGATTTAGGGATTTGCAGATTTTAATGTTTTTATTTTAGATGATTGATTAGGTATTACATTAACAAATTAAAAAAAATCTAAACTACTGTCTTATATATTGGTTTTCCATTAGTCATTTAGGAAGTAGGTTTTCTGTAATTGATTTCTCATTTTCAAACAAGATTTTACCAAAAGAAATTTCTAAGAATTAGGAGAAAATTTCAGTTTCTTTTCAAAAAAAAAAGTTGAAATCAATTTTTAATTACTTTATCAGTTCCCATACTTACTCCTCCATTATTTAGATTTTACTGTAGTACTCGTGACTGTGCATCCCTTAGGATCATTTTGTGGTTTTATGTAGGGTACCTATGTTTTTCTTATTAGGTACATTGCAGTTAGGCACATTTCGACCAAGTAGTTCGCGTTCGTGAAGCACGTGTTGTCCAGCTGATGCAAAAAAAAAGTTTTAATGTAATTAGCCGGCCTGTTTACGCCAATGTAAACAGCAATAGATTTGAAGAAAGCTAAATAGAGTCATTGAGAAAAACAAAGCGATCGCTCCTCCATTGTCTCCGTAAAGACAAAAGAAGGCAGGCTTGAAGTAGGCTGGGATTGGTCGGGGATTCCGTATCGATTGTTACGTTGGCCGGGCATCCGGTCGGCGCCCAATGAGCTAAAACAACAGACGAGCGTCACGACGACTAAACTCAACTGCTCTCTACACAAACACACACTCATTCGCTCCTTTGTAATTTTCACTAAAAATAAACGATCGCGGAGTATGCGTTGGTTGATATTATGTGGCTAATTGAAGGAAACGAATCGCGACATTCAACCAGTTGGAATCGTTTAAACTGTAATTAATTTGTGTAACTACCTAACAACAGTTGGCGCTATTATGTTTTTTGTAATGATTACAGATCATCTTATGTAGGTAGGTATGTGAGAAAATGCGTTTAACAATCCACATAAAATATAGATCTTTACTTTGGGCTACCGTCAGGGCATGACAGATCTACTTTAGCATAGGCACCTAAATCGATTAAGAATAAATCGATTCACGTACCTACGTAATTTGCTTCGTGTCAATCGTTGTTAATAAGAAGCAGGGATAGATAAATTGAAGAAATAACCAACAATACAACACTGTTACACAGTGTGATACTACGAATTAGAATTGATTGCAATTCTCTGCTAGCGGATTGCTTACATTTTTTGAAAAGTTCTAGGAAATGAATCTTTCAAACATCTTTGTAGGGATCGTCAGAGGTAGTAATAGTATAAGGAACGAGACAGGGGTCATTTTAATAGAAAATGAGGAAAAAGCAGATAGGTGGAAAAAATCTTTAGAGAGATCCTATACCTAGGTATACCATGAGTTAAGAGATGTTTTAGAGAAGGAAGAAAGTATGGACATAGGTGAGCTAGGATGATACCCCATAATAAGATAATAATTTTGTGTAGCATTAAAAAGCTTAAAGAATAATAAGGCACCAGATATAGACAGATAGGATAGAGGCGGAAATCTTAAAATATGTAGAACAAGATGTTAGTCACATATATACGAGACGGGGAAAGTCCTGGAAGACTATAAACGGAACGTGGTAGTAATCATGCCAAAAAAGAGATGCGCGGATAGATGCAAGAAATTTAGAACAATTTAACTTAACTTCCCATAACTACAATCGTATATATACACATAGAAGGGTGGTAAAAAGTGTTGAAGAACTATTAGAGCTCACTTGTTAATGCGACGCCATGTAAAATTAGTTAAATCTGTAGGAAGCCTATCTTAAAATTTATTTTATTTTTCATAAAGTACACAGCCCAAAATCCATTTACCTGCGGTTAAATGATAGTTAATTTTATACTAAGCATAGATAAAACCTTTTCATTGCCAATAGTGTAAAAAAGATATCCAATGACGGGGCTAAAATTTAGGAAGCTCGAGTTAGGGAAGTTTTTCATTTTGCCTTTTGTTAATTTTTTTGGAAGAGTTACTTTGCTGATATATCTCAACTCAAGTCACAAAATCAAGATTTAACCTATGTTTACACACTCATATTACGAAAAGCAGGGAAAGGGTTCCATGGCATTGTATAAAGCCATAACCAACTCCTACTACTATACACATACATATTTACACATGTAGTTATCTACACAATAAAAGGTATAAAACGACAGTTCGTAGTGTATAATAAATAATAAACGTTACGTTACGTTTGTAAGTCACCTCGATTGCCCACGGGTTCTCTCTTTCACTCACATACACCGTGCGTTATAATCGGACTATACAAATCAATTTGTCGACGTGCTATTAAATCGTCATCTTCATTGATAGACTACAATGGAATGAGCAACAAAGGACGCATTAAAACCTCCCGATGCCATCTGTAACTAAATACTAATTGTTAGTCATTACCAATTCTTTATTCGTGTATTAGATACCTTTTATTGTTGTGTTATCGAACGCCGGCTTTTTTATTTATTAATTCAGATAGGTATACGTATGTGTAGGTTAATATCCAGGATCCAGGTGTCTATTACTCATTTTGCAACTGCGGATTTTGGAAATTTCTATGCGTAATTTTTAAATTATTGTTTCTCTGTATTAACAAGGATTAACTGTCCACAGCGACTGTACCTATACTTGTAGATACTAAAAACGAATGCCAGATTTGATCTTTTTTGCATATAGATAAAAATCGCATAAAATTTCAATAATTTAAGACAACTTAATCAGTAATCAGTAGCAGTACTAACGATTAAAGGTTTTGAGTTTTTGTACAATTTTTTTCATGCAAAAAAGACCAAAAAGTAACACTAACCCTAAGTACTAGATAACCCTCCGATACGTCTATGAAAATTAATCGAAAACAGATCGCCAAAAACAATTAACCGAATACAAATCATCGAAATACAATTTACAGAATAACAATTCATTTTAACGAAAATAATTATTCTGTAGTGTTATCATCAATTGCACAAACTACTGTGCAAGTAGATACACTTCTTTCTCTCCAACTGCATTCTTTTGATCGATTTAGTGTTATTGCTTAATGTGAAAAATGATATACGTATGTATTAGTATGTGAGAATTTCTTTTTTTGGTATCTACATATCAGTAATTAAACCAAGGTGCGTTTAGGTGGTAGAAAAAGAAAGGTAGAGACGACAATAAGGGTTTGTAGTGTTTGTAACCGATACCTATCGATAACTAATACCTTATATAGTTCACAAGCTCGTTCTGGTCCGCGTTTTTCGTACGCGGCAACGGCCGGTCGCATCGCGGTAAAAGCTCTCGACAAAATCCGGTGTCATTTTCAGACTTATCACACGCCGACCTGTCAAACGGAACAAAAGGCAACTGCCTTCCTTTCTCTCGACGACGAAACTTGGCGAAATGAGTAAAAGGCAAAAAAGAAAACTCTCTCACGATGAGGCATTTTCGACATAATCTCGACGAAAAGTCGCAATAACAGCGAATCAAATAAGGCGTTTTCGCGACTCAATTCAATTTTGCTCTTGTTGTGCGGAAAAGTGACAAAGAAATTAAATTAAAATTAAAGATGTCTGCGCGAACGCATTTTAATGTCAATTAAGTACAAACACTAATTCAAAATAAACGTTTTTAGTTTTTCAGATTGGGAAGAATGTAATTTTATAACTGTTATAGTAATCCTATTGCGGTAATATAATGGTATTATAATAATGATTAACGTCACCGTCACGATGCACTGAACTTAACTAAAAATATAAAAACTAAAACTTATTACTGAAGTAGGTGGTGTCCCATTAATTTATCAGGATTATGGATCTTAGGCAAAAACTTTACGTAATAATAAAGAAGGAAATCTGAGATTGCCTTATCGATTTTATATAAACTCTCAAAAACAGCCTATGCACTATAGGCGAATTGAGAACTGAGCATGTGGATATTGTATGCAATAAGCCCTTAGAATAAGGGTGTTACGTTTTGTTCAAAAGGATAGTTTTTACAAAAGTAGATTCTCATTCACCAAATTATGCATTTTCACTTGTGCTAGCATTTTGCATTATGGGTATACATGATTTCAAAAATCTCAAATTGTTTCGTAATAAAAACACCAATTTCTCCAATAATTTTAATAACGCTCATTATAAGTAGAGGCAACAACCTACCAACACCAGCTGCTGTTTTAGATTCATCATCATGCTTGGTCATAGTAACCTATACCTACGTATGTATGCACCTGTGTATGTGTATATGTATGTATGTATATTTTCGTTATAAATTTGGGCCTCGTCTGTACAGGTGACGCCCGCACATGTCATCCTCCCTACGATCAAACATCCATCCATCCAACCAGCCGTCTATCGGCCTGTTGATTACACGCTGTTGTTTTGTTCCTAATTTGATAATTAATAAAGGACTCAAAGAAGGTATCGACTGCTGACAAACAACAAAAAAATTAACCCTGGAAGATCTATTGTTAAAGATAGAGTCGCAATAATAAATCGAAAATTTGGTAGGCACATTCCCAGCAAGCTAACGGGCAAAGGGTTTAAAAATTTGCCAGAAATTATAAAATGACAGAGATTATTTCTATGTAAGAAACGCACCCCTATGTACCAGAATTACCTACATATATTATAATTTGTCTGCCTGCTTTGGACATGGGGCATTTTTGGCCATCTATTAAATATCTGTGTGGTTTAAATTGAAAAATCAAAAGTTTTTTACGAACATATGTACCTAGTAAACGGAATCGCTTCCTATGATACCATTCGTCGCTGATCATTATTAAGGTAGTCATTGTTCAAATACAGGTTGATCATGCTTCTTCATAACTTCCTATCCATCAATCTTCGAATTTCCCTAAAACTAGAACAGGCCACCATGTGTGGAATGCGTTTTGATGAAAATGTGTTTTTGCGAAAACACTAGGAAATAATTCATGATTTTTAATTCTTTTTAATCAATTTTCAAATGTGGACGCGCAAAATATCGCTCTTTTTACATTAGTTCAAAATTTAAATTTGTATGACTTAAGTGCGACAAGATGTTATAAAGGAATAAGGGGAAACGTTTTTTGACGAAAATGGGTCTTTGGGAAATCGAAGAAAATAACTCATAATTTCTCGTCCTTTTTAACCAATTTTAAAATGAACGCGAAAATTTTGCTCTTTGTAGTGGTTCAAACCAAAAATTAAATTTATATGATATAAGCGCGAGGTAGTGTTGTAAGATGGCAAGTTATTTGACGAAAACGTGTTTCTACGAATTTTAAGGAAACGATTTATAATTTAGGGTTCGTGTTAATCAATTTTCAAATCAAATGCGTTATTTTTCTAACGAAGTTATGAAAAATTTTAACGCTTTCTTGTCATGATTAACATGCAAATGACCAACATATTTATGACCCAGTTATACGAATTGCTAAAAAGCCATTTTCAATAATAATGTAAATTGGTAAACGTTTCTGAAACGCAGTTGCAACAATCCGATAGGAAATTTTGAAATAACGTGCATGTTTCCCTTTCAACACGCCGGTAAAACATTTGCAGAATTATTATTAATACAACAACACAAAAACAATAATAATTTCGCATTTACGGCGGCACCTGTAAAACAAAATATTTCCAATTGCACTCCCACCGAGTCAGTCTATTTATTACGAGTTCGATTTTAGCTGTATCATTTTATTCATACGGTTCCACCTGACTTTGTTATTATTGAACACGCCTTAAACTTGAACAGCGTGAAATAAAAAACGGCTTCTGTATCTATATGTGTGTGCATTTGTTTTCAACATCTACCGAAAGGTTACGGATTTGATTCACATCATATGGTTACTAAATACTTACGATCAGTAAATGAGGATAAGACATTTTTTTTTTGAACAAGACATTCTTAAAAAGTAATAACGTTATTTTAATTTTTTGTTATGAAACGTTGCAAGTGTTCCCGACTGTAAATTTGCTAGGACAGGCCCTATCTGTATCCGGTCCGGATCCTTATTTAGCTTGATTGGGCTTTGATATTAATACTCTATTTCAATCAATTAATAGTAGGAATGTCCTACTTAACCTGACAATAAATGGGATTAAATAAAATATTGCTTTTAGGTAGATGTAGGAGGTCATATTTTAATATTTCTTTCACATATTAACATGTGGCAGTTTCCTTGTTCCTTGCTGATTAGTTTTTTGTTTATTATAATCGGCAACATTGAACCTACTTTACTTACTTAGTTACACACATACGTCTTACATGTGAGTAGGGTACATTACCTATGTACGTACGTTAGTAAACAATGTGTTTACAGTTAATTATTTAAAAATAAAAACACGTTAAAGCAAGATATTGAAGGCGTGATCCATTGCCATATGCATACTCTAAATGAGATTTCTTAAAAACGTGTAGCACGGATGAATGTACAAAAAGTGATATTGTGCATAGTCATCTTTATTAACGAGCTGCAACAAAACGTTTCGAACCTGACCACCCGACATAGGCGACTCGTCACAAAATTACCGTAGCACTTGTAACAATAAACTAATCTTCAATTTTCCTGCACACTCGGTGGAAATCTTTAAACTGCTTCTGATAACTTCTTTATTTGATAATATTTAGAAGAGTTATATCTATCTGCTATAGCAACTATTGCTTTATAACTTGAACTCTTTGCCATGATTTTATCCTTGTACCCCCTAGAGTAATGTGAAATTTTTGAAATGAAATTTTCATAGAAATTTTGTTTGATGTGGAACAGTAACTAAATAAACATTTAAAATACAAAATTCCCTAAAACGTTTACAAACCTAAAATGTGTTTCGACACCCAAGATGTCATTCTCAGTTAGAGGCTCAGTTAGTCAGTCAGTTACAGACCCATCGTCAGTCATCCTCAGCTAAGACACAGCCTGTAACCGAGGATGGCACCTTGGGTGTCGAAGCCCGTTTTAGGATTGTAAACGTTTTGTGAAATTTTGGATTTTAAGTGTTTCCTTTCTTAATAAAGATGGGCAATTATTTGGATATACTGACAGACATCGATTTTATGTATATACTTGATTTATAAGGAATTTTTAAAAGGTCTAGAAGCGGTAATTTGGATATTGTTATGCTCTTCTACCATACGCCACTGATCCAATATTTCTGTCCCGTCATAGTTGGAAGTGTTAGTCGTTACCACTCGTGACACTAATCATACGGTGACCAGCTAGCATTTATATTAACTCTAACCCGGCATTAACTTTCAGTTTTAATTGCTATCGAATATTATAGGCAGAAAATAACCGCGCGTTGGAGAGGCCGTAAAAACGCGAATATTTCCGCGGCCGCGGCCTCTCAACGCCGTGCCGCGCCGCAGATCGACCGCGCTCGCAATGGCTCGATAAATAATAAGTGGAAATACAAGAAGGTGCCTCATCCGACAAGTCGAAGAAACGTGATATGAAAATTCAACGAATAATTATTGTCTATTTAGCACCGTTTGCCTTATTATTATTATTGTTGTTGTTGTTGTGGTTGTTGTTACTTTAATAATCTATCTTTCTTCCTCTATCGGCTCGCGAACTGCTGATGTTAATTATTATGATCCGATGCCGATGATGTTAACTAAATTTGTGTAATAAAGCCGACGTTCCGACGTGGTAGAAGCGGCTAACGATCGGTAACTGTACCCGCCAATTAAAATTGACGATGAAAACTATCGAAATACCTATCAGAGGAATTCGTGGTCAAAGAAATTACACTACCCTAATTGTTATTTTGCTTCTTTGACGTATGCCGTATGTTTCGCAATAATTTTGTTAGACCGGTGCTTATTATAAATATCTTGAAATTTTCTCTTGCTTCCACTCGATTAATTGTCTACTAAATCTATCTAGCGTATGATGGAATATCATTGCAGAAAATAATTTTAAAACACTTAAATGCACTTAACCGTTTCTGATTTGCTAATCGCGATCAGGATGAAGATTTTATCAAGTATTAGAAGTTAAACATTTATCTCTTTTCGGAAAGTAATATAATCTAGGCTTCTAGGCAATGGAAGTTAATTTGACTGTAACATTTTTCCACATTCAACTAAATTGTTATTAACAGGAGTTAATTAGGTCCTGCCAAGGCTAGAGCCTTACTAAAATTACTGCAATAACTAGACACACATATAGAATGAATATAGTTGCAGTGATTTTAGTTAATAAAGCTGCTAATAAACGTGCAACACTATTTTTTCAGCCTTTTCTGAAAATACATAGTATTAGGGAAGGATACGTTAAAAGCTAGTTAATATTTCAAAACGCTAATTCAGTTTTGAAGAATTTTCTGACGAAGTATCAGCTTCACCACTTTACTACATATGTATGTATAATGTGTGAAGTACTTACAAAAATCGCGCAATTTTCTTTATTATAGTTCTAAAAATTCCTTTAATGCTTTACTGCTACAGAGTACAGAAAAAATACAGGTTTTTTTGTAATCATTTTTTGTTCCAAATGCAGCAATTCACCTTGGATTGAAAAGAAATTCTGACCAANGTCTATCAGGATATTTATTTATATATCTTTAGGAGAAATTTTTGATGTCTAATCCTGCTATAGCATTTTACAGTTATTAGTCAATCCTTAGGTAGATTATAGTAGTCTCGATTTCAGTATGTTATTCTGTTGGAAAATGATTCCTGCAAATTTCAGGACTCAAACCAGTATTCGGTTTGTAAGGACGATAGACAGATGGCGTTCGGTGTGCTGTTAAAAGTAAAAGGACCAGCGCAACAGTTCACACGCATTGTAACGGTTTTACGATATTGATTTACGTATTTTGTTAGATAGACGGCAGATTATACGCAAACTTTATAAAAAATAAGTATGAATTTTTATTTTCGTTTGTTAGATTTTAAATAAAAAAAAAGAGAAATTGCACATTTCATTATATTACAGCTTCAAGGGCCAGCATTTTGATTTAGGGATTTGCAGATTTTAATGTTTTTATTTTAGATGATTGATTAGGTATTACATTAACAAATTAAAAAAAATCTAAACTACTGTCTTATATATTGGTTTTCCATTAGTCATTTAGGAAGTAGGTTTTCTGTAATTGATTTCTCATTTTCAAACAAGATTTTACCAAAAGAAATTTCTAAGAATTAGGAGAAAATTTCAGTTTCTTTTCAAAAAAAAAAGTTGAAATCAATTTTTAATTACTTTATCAGTTCCCATACTTACTCCTCCATTATTTAGATTTTACTGTAGTACTCGTGACTGTGCATCCCTTAGGATCATTTTGTGGTTTTATGTAGGGTACCTATGTTTTTCTTATTAGGTACATTGCAGTTAGGCACATTTCGACCAAGTAGTTCGCGTTCGTGAAGCACGTGTTGTCCAGCTGATGCAAAAAAAAAGTTTTAATGTAATTAGCCGGCCTGTTTACGCCAATGTAAACAGCAATAGATTTGAAGAAAGCTAAATAGAGTCATTGAGAAAAACAAAGCGATCGCTCCTCCATTGTCTCCGTAAAGACAAAAGAAGGCAGGCTTGAAGTAGGCTGGGATTGGTCGGGGATTCCGTATCGATTGTTACGTTGGCCGGGCATCCGGTCGGCGCCCAATGAGCTAAAACAACAGACGAGCGTCACGACGACTAAACTCAACTGCTCTCTACACAAACACACACTCATTCGCTCCTTTGTAATTTTCACTAAAAATAAACGATCGCGGAGTATGCGTTGGTTGATATTATGTGGCTAATTGAAGGAAACGAATCGCGACATTCAACCAGTTGGAATCGTTTAAACTGTAATTAATTTGTGTAACTACCTAACAACAGTTGGCGCTATTATGTTTTTTGTAATGATTACAGATCATCTTATGTAGGTAGGTATGTGAGAAAATGCGTTTAACAATCCACATAAAATATAGATCTTTACTTTGGGCTACCGTCAGGGCATGACAGATCTACTTTAGCATAGGCACCTAAATCGATTAAGAATAAATCGATTCACGTACCTACGTAATTTGCTTCGTGTCAATCGTTGTTAATAAGAAGCAGGGATAGATAAATTGAAGAAATAACCAACAATACAACACTGTTACACAGTGTGATACTACGAATTAGAATTGATTGCAATTCTCTGCTAGCGGATTGCTTACATTTTTTGAAAAGTTCTAGGAAATGAATCTTTCAAACATCTTTGTAGGGATCGTCAGAGGTAGTAATAGTATAAGGAACGAGACAGGGGTCATTTTAATAGAAAATGAGGAAAAAGCAGATAGGTGGAAAAAATCTTTAGAGAGATCCTATACCTAGGTATACCATGAGTTAAGAGATGTTTTAGAGAAGGAAGAAAGTATGGACATAGGTGAGCTAGGATGATACCCCATAATAAGATAATAATTTTGTGTAGCATTAAAAAGCTTAAAGAATAATAAGGCACCAGATATAGACAGATAGGATAGAGGCGGAAATCTTAAAATATGTAGAACAAGATGTTAGTCACATATATACGAGACGGGGAAAGTCCTGGAAGACTATAAACGGAACGTGGTAGTAATCATGCCAAAAAAGAGATGCGCGGATAGATGCAAGAAATTTAGAACAATTTAACTTAACTTCCCATAACTACAATCGTATATATACACATAGAAGGGTGGTAAAAAGTGTTGAAGAACTATTAGAGCTCACTTGTTAATGCGACGCCATGTAAAATTAGTTAAATCTGTAGGAAGCCTATCTTAAAATTTATTTTATTTTTCATAAAGTACACAGCCCAAAATCCATTTACCTGCGGTTAAATGATAGTTAATTTTATACTAAGCATAGATAAAACCTTTTCATTGCCAATAGTGTAAAAAAGATATCCAATGACGGGGCTAAAATTTAGGAAGCTCGAGTTAGGGAAGTTTTTCATTTTGCCTTTTGTTAATTTTTTTGGAAGAGTTACTTTGCTGATATATCTCAACTCAAGTCACAAAATCAAGATTTAACCTATGTTTACACACTCATATTACGAAAAGCAGGGAAAGGGTTCCATGGCATTGTATAAAGCCATAACCAACTCCTACTACTATACACATACATATTTACACATGTAGTTATCTACACAATAAAAGGTATAAAACGACAGTTCGTAGTGTATAATAAATAATAAACGTTACGTTACGTTTGTAAGTCACCTCGATTGCCCACGGGTTCTCTCTTTCACTCACATACACCGTGCGTTATAATCGGACTATACAAATCAATTTGTCGACGTGCTATTAAATCGTCATCTTCATTGATAGACTACAATGGAATGAGCAACAAAGGACGCATTAAAACCTCCCGATGCCATCTGTAACTAAATACTAATTGTTAGTCATTACCAATTCTTTATTCGTGTATTAGATACCTTTTATTGTTGTGTTATCGAACGCCGGCTTTTTTATTTATTAATTCAGATAGGTATACGTATGTGTAGGTTAATATCCAGGATCCAGGTGTCTATTACTCATTTTGCAACTGCGGATTTTGGAAATTTCTATGCGTAATTTTTAAATTATTGTTTCTCTGTATTAACAAGGATTAACTGTCCACAGCGACTGTACCTATACTTGTAGATACTAAAAACGAATGCCAGATTTGATCTTTTTTGCATATAGATAAAAATCGCATAAAATTTCAATAATTTAAGACAACTTAATCAGTAATCAGTAGCAGTACTAACGATTAAAGGTTTTGAGTTTTTGTACAATTTTTTTCATACAAAAAAGACCAAAAAGTAACACTAACCCTAAGTACTAGATAACCCTCCGATACGTCTATGAAAATTAATCGAAAACAGATCGCCAAAAACAATTAACCGAATACAAATCATCGAAATACAATTTACAGAATAACAATTCATTTTAACGAAAATAATTATTCTGTAGTGTTATCATCAATTGCACAAACTACTGTGCAAGTAGATACACTTCTTTCTCTCCAACTGCATTCTTTTGATCGATTTAGTGTTATTGCTTAATGTGAAAAATGATATACGTATGTATTAGTATGTGAGAATTTCTTTTTTTGGTATCTACATATCAGTAATTAAACCAAGGTGCGTTTAGGTGGTAGAAAAAGAAAGGTAGAGACGACAATAAGGGTTTGTAGTGTTTGTAACCGATACCTATCGATAACTAATACCTTATATAGTTCACAAGCTCGTTCTGGTCCGCGTTTTTCGTACGCGGCAACGGCCGGTCGCATCGCGGTAAAAGCTCTCGACAAAATCCGGTGTCATTTTCAGACTTATCACACGCCGACCTGTCAAACGGAACAAAAGGCAACTGCCTTCCTTTCTCTCGACGACGAAACTTGGCGAAATGAGTAAAAGGCAAAAAAGAAAACTCTCTCACGATGAGGCATTTTCGACATAATCTCGACGAAAAGTCGCAATAACAGCGAATCAAATAAGGCGTTTTCGCGACTCAATTCAATTTTGCTCTTGTTGTGCGGAAAAGTGACAAAGAAATTAAATTAAAATTAAAGATGTCTGCGCGAACGCATTTTAATGTCAATTAAGTACAAACACTAATTCAAAATAAACGTTTTTAGTTTTTCAGATTGGGAAGAATGTAATTTTATAACTGTTATAGTAATCCTATTGCGGTAATATAATGGTATTATAATAATGATTAACGTCACCGTCACGATGCACTGAACTTAACTAAAAATATAAAAACTAAAACTTATTACTGAAGTAGGTGGTGTCCCATTAATTTATCAGGATTATGGATCTTAGGCAAAAACTTTACGTAATAATAAAGAAGGAAATCTGAGATTGCCTTATCGATTTTATATAAACTCTCAAAAACAGCCTATGCACTATAGGCGAATTGAGAACTGAGCATGTGGATATTGTATGCAATAAGCCCTTAGAATAAGGGTGTTACGTTTTGTTCAAAAGGATAGTTTTTACAAAAGTAGATTCTCATTCACCAAATTATGCATTTTCACTTGTGCTAGCATTTTGCATTATGGGTATACATGATTTCAAAAATCTCAAATTGTTTCGTAATAAAAACACCAATTTCTCCAATAATTTTAATAACGCTCATTATAAGTAGAGGCAACAACCTACCAACACCAGCTGCTGTTTTAGATTCATCATCATGCTTGGTCATAGTAACCTATACCTACGTATGTATGCACCTGTGTATGTGTATATGTATGTATGTATATTTTCGTTATAAATTTGGGCCTCGTCTGTACAGGTGACGCCCGCACATGTCATCCTCCCTACGATCAAACATCCATCCATCCAACCAGCCGTCTATCGGCCTGTTGATTACACGCTGTTGTTTTGTTCCTAATTTGATAATTAATAAAGGACTCAAAGAAGGTATCGACTGCTGACAAACAACAAAAAAATTAACCCTGGAAGATCTATTGTTAAAGATAGAGTCGCAATAATAAATCGAAAATTTGGTAGGCACATTCCCAGCAAGCTAACGGGCAAAGGGTTTAAAAATTTGCCAGAAATTATAAAATGACAGAGATTATTTCTATGTAAGAAACGCACCCCTATGTACCAGAATTACCTACATATATTATAATTTGTCTGCCTGCTTTGGACATGGGGCATTTTTGGCCATCTATTAAATATCTGTGTGGTTTAAATTGAAAAATCAAAAGTTTTTTACGAACATATGTACCTAGTAAACGGAATCGCTTCCTATGATACCATTCGTCGCTGATCATTATTAAGGTAGTCATTGTTCAAATACAGGTTGATCATGCTTCTTCATAACTTCCTATCCATCAATCTTCGAATTTCCCTAAAACTAGAACAGGCCACCATGTGTGGAATGCGTTTTGATGAAAATGTGTTTTTGCGAAAACACTAGGAAATAATTCATGATTTTTAATTCTTTTTAATCAATTTTCAAATGTGGACGCGCAAAATATCGCTCTTTTTACATTAGTTCAAAATTTAAATTTGTATGACTTAAGTGCGACAAGATGTTATAAAAAAAAAGGGGAAACGTTTTTTGACGAAAATGGGTCTTTGGGAAATCGAAGAAAATAACTCATAATTTCTCGTCCTTTTTAACCAATTTTAAAATGAACGCGAAAATTTTGCTCTTTGTAGTGGTTCAAACCAAAAATTAAATTTATATGATATAAGCGCGAGGTAGTGTTGTAAGATTGCAAGTTATTTGACGAAAACGTGTTTCTACGAATTTTAAGGAAACGATTTATAATTTAGGGTTCGTGTTAATCAATTTTCAAATCAAATGCGTTATTTTTCTAACGAAGTTATGAAAAATTTTAACGCTTTCTTGTCATGATTAACATGCAAATGACCAACATATTTATGACCCAGTTATACGAATTGCTAAAAAGCCATTTTCAATAATAATGTAAATTGGTAAACGTTTCTGAAACGCAGTTGCAACAATCCGATAGGAAATTTTGAAATAACGTGCATGTTTCCCTTTCAACACGCCGGTAAAACATTTGCAGAATTATTATTAATACAACAACACAAAAACAATAATAATTTCGCATTTACGGCGGCACCTGTAAAACAAAATATTTCCAATTGCACTCCCACCGAGTCAGTCTATTTATTACGAGTTCGATTTTAGCTGTATCATTTTATTCATACGGTTCCACCTGACTTTGTTATTATTGAACACGCCTTAAACTTGAACAGCGTGAAATAAAAAACGGCTTCTGTATCTATATGTGTGTGCATTTGTTTTCAACATCTACCGAAAGGTTACGGATTTGATTCACATCATATGGTTACTAAATACTTACGATCAGTAAATGAGGATAAGACATTTTTTTTTTGAACAAGACATTCTTAAAAAGTAATAACGTTATTTTAATTTTTTGTTATGAAACGTTGCAAGTGTTCCCGACTGTAAATTTGCTAGGACAGGCCCTATCTGTATCCGGTCCGGATCCTTATTTAGCTTGATTGGGCTTTGATATTAATACTCTATTTCAATCAATTAATAGTAGGAATGTCCTACTTAACCTGACAATAAATGGGATTAAATAAAATATTGCTTTTAGGTAGATGTAGGAGGTCATATTTTAATATTTCTTTCACATATTAACATGTGGCAGTTTCCTTGTTCCTTGCTGATTAGTTTTTTGTTTATTATAATCGGCAACATTGAACCTACTTTACTTACTTAGTTACACACATACGTCTTACATGTGAGTAGGGTACATTACCTATGTACGTACGTTAGTAAACAATGTGTTTACAGTTAATTATTTAAAAATAAAAACACGTTAAAGCAAGATATTGAAGGCGTGATCCATTGCCATATGCATACTCTAAATGAGATTTCTTAAAAACGTGTAGCACGGATGAATGTACAAAAAGTGATATTGTGCATAGTCATCTTTATTAACGAGCTGCAACAAAACGTTTCGAACCTGACCACCCGACATAGGCGACTCGTCACAAAATTACCGTAGCACTTGTAACAATAAACTAATCTTCAATTTTCCTGCACACTCGGTGGAAATCTTTAAACTGCTTCTGATAACTTCTTTATTTGATAATATTTAGAAGAGTTATATCTATCTGCTATAGCAACTATTGCTTTATAACTTGAACTCTTTGCCATGATTTTATCCTTGTACCCCCTAGAGTAATGTGAAATTTTTGAAATGAAATTTTCATAGAAATTTTGTTTGATGTGGAACAGTAACTAAATAAACATTTAAAATACAAAATTCCCTAAAACGTTTACAAACCTAAAATGTGTTTCGACACCCAAGATGTCATTCTCAGTTAGAGGCTCAGTTAGTCAGTCAGTTACAGACCCATCGTCAGTCATCCTCAGCTAAGACACAGCCTGTAACCGAGGATGGCACCTTGGGTGTCGAAGCCCGTTTTAGGATTGTAAACGTTTTGTGAAATTTTGGATTTTAAGTGTTTCCTTTCTTAATAAAGATGGGCAATTATTTGGATATACTGACAGACATCGATTTTATGTATATACTTGATTTATAAGGAATTTTTAAAAGGTCTAGAAGCGGTAATTTGGATATTGTTATGCTCTTCTACCATACGCCACTGATCCAATATTTCTGTCCCGTCATAGTTGGAAGTGTTAGTCGTTACCACTCGTGACACTAATCATACGGTGACCAGCTAGCATTTATATTAACTCTAACCCGGCATTAACTTTCAGTTTTAATTGCTATCGAATATTATAGGCAGAAAATAACCGCGCGTTGGAGAGGCCGTAAAAACGCGAATATTTCCGCGGCCGCGGCCTCTCAACGCCGTGCCGCGCCGCAGATCGACCGCGCTCGCAATGGCTCGATAAATAATAAGTGGAAATACAAGAAGGTGCCTCATCCGACAAGTCGAAGAAACGTGATATGAAAATTCAACGAATAATTATTGTCTATTTAGCACCGTTTGCCTTATTATTATTATTGTTGTTGTTGTTGTGGTTGTTGTTACTTTAATAATCTATCTTTCTTCCTCTATCGGCTCGCGAACTGCTGATGTTAATTATTATGATCCGATGCCGATGATGTTAACTAAATTTGTGTAATAAAGCCGACGTTCCGACGTGGTAGAAGCGGCTAACGATCGGTAACTGTACCCGCCAATTAAAATTGACGATGAAAACTATCGAAATACCTATCAGAGGAATTCGTGGTCAAAGAAATTACACTACCCTAATTGTTATTTTGCTTCTTTGACGTATGCCGTATGTTTCGCAATAATTTTGTTAGACCGGTGCTTATTATAAATATCTTGAAATTTTCTCTTGCTTCCACTCGATTAATTGTCTACTAAATCTATCTAGCGTATGATGGAATATCATTGCAGAAAATAATTTTAAAACACTTAAATGCACTTAACCGTTTCTGATTTGCTAATCGCGATCAGGATGAAGATTTTATCAAGTATTAGAAGTTAAACATTTATCTCTTTTCGGAAAGTAATATAATCTAGGCTTCTAGGCAATGGAAGTTAATTTGACTGTAACATTTTTCCACATTCAACTAAATTGTTATTAACAGGAGTTAATTAGGTCCTGCCAAGGCTAGAGCCTTACTAAAATTACTGCAATAACTAGACACACATATAGAATGAAGATAGTTGCAGTGATTTTAGTTAATAAAGCTGCTAATAAACGTGCAACACTATTTTTTCAGCCTTTTCTGAAAATACATAGTATTAGGGAAGGATACGTTAAAAGCTAGTTAATATTTCAAAACGCTAATTCAGTTTTGAAGAATTTTCTGACGAAGTATCAGCTTCACCACTTTACTACATATGTATGTATAATGTGTGAAGTACTTACAAAAATCGCGCAATTTTCTTTATTATAGTTCTAAAAATTCCTTTAATGCTTTACTGCTACAGAGTACAGAAAAAATACAGGTTT